TATACTGAAACAAAAGTTGGATGATAAAAGTAAAAGATTTCTTTCTTGAATAACATGATGTCCGTACCATGTGTATTAACTGAATATCCTATTTCATACAATATTTTCAGTAATCCACAAAGGTAAGTCTTGGACTGCACTACCAGTGGATTTAAGAGTAACATATTCGAAGACTGCAGTGGATGATTTTTTAAAACTTTTTGCAGTTTATTTTCTCAACTATTTCAGATAAAATTAAATACCTTGTATAAGAAATTTAAACTTATTCAGTCCAGTACGCTTTATTGTAATATCTGGACAGGCCACAGCACATCTCTAAAGTTCGACCATTAAAAGCTGAAAGGCTAAAGTCAATGAGAACATATACTGCAGATAAATACAATGCGGAGTTCTATACAAGCAGAAAAAAAATCAAAAATCCTTTTAAAAAATTTCTTTTATTATTGATTCTTATATATGAAAAAGTACAACAAATATTGACACAATACTGAACAATTCTAACAATTAATAGTAGGCACTTTGAAAATTGAAACTTTTGTAATTACCATACATACTTATTGTAAAACTCATATGTAGCACTACATAATGATTGTGTAATGTAATACTTCAGTCACTAAACAATTACATTTAATTTCAAAAAGGAATAAATGCTAGTACATCAGTGAATGAAGATACAATATGTATGTAATAGATTAGAACTTAATTAAACCTGAATGCTACAAAATACTGGAAAAATTTCAATGAAAAATTTAGAAAATATGATTCAAGGAGTGGGAAATACGATTTTATAATTTAATTACTACTTTTTAAACTTGAAACATTAATGTATTTAAGAAGTATTTATAAAATTTTAAGAATATTTAAGAGGTTCTAGTTTTAATTGACAGAAAATGAATAGTACACACTGAAAAGACATACTTAAAACCATAATAAAAGTAGCAAAATTAAAAATTAAAGAATATTAGAAAATAACAGTAAAATTCAGCTCAAATTAAACTACTGTAATACAGTATTTTGTGGGCTGAATATAAAACTCTTCCATTTACCTTCACCTACTTCAGTAAACCGTACGTGCTTAACACACATTAAGCATTATCACTTTAAAATCTAAAATTACAACATGAAATACAGTTTTAGCCACCTAAATAATTAAATTTTATATAAATGCATCAGTTGGCTTTAACACAGATGATGCATGAAAGCAAATTTCTTCTCCCAAATATTACAGAACACCTTTTCCACAAACATACAGTAATTATACATACTAGGACACAGTTCACCAACATTACATTACATGAATATTTTTTATTTCAAAAATTCTGAAACATAAGCTGGATAAAAAAGGATTTTTGACTTCTGCAATCCTAAACCAGAAGTACATATTACTGCTATTTTGTGACAACAGCACAATAAAACACTATCCCCATTTGATACACCTTAAAATATTTTAAAGCAACATACAACACAATTAGATGAAAATATGAAATTTTTTACTATTAAATAACATTTAAAAACGTTTGAACATAACTGTAAGATGCTCTTGTAATTTGTGATAGTGGATAACATACACACAACATATGCACACACACACAAAAATACTTGCATACAAGCATACAATATTAACTACAAATACATTAAATACAACATATAAAACTAAAATACTTCTAAACTAAAATACTTTTAAAAAATGACACTGAATTTACATTGTGCTATTAAAACAAAAGCAAGAATATTAACTTTATTCCAATATACTGTATTGAGATACACTGTTTCAGAAAAATTTACTAGTAAATTTTAAGCTACAAGAAAACAAAAGCAATAACTATTATTGCTCAAACGAATGATAAACTTTTCTGAAGCTATGCAGTGCCCTAATTAATAATTAATTTAAAAGAAAACTACACAAAATCTTTACAATTCTCAATTGTTGCATTAATTATAGCACACATATTTTGCAGACTAGTGAAATTATGGTTTTAAGACCAAAAACTGGCTTGCAAATTTTATAAACACTACACATACAATAACCAACATACTATGAAATATAAATTTGTTAATTACTGTTAAACAAAAAGTATAAAAATATAACAAAAGAAATTTGGCACAGTATTAATTCTGCAATCAATGTATTCACTAATTTAGGTGGTGTACCAATTCTTAAAACTCATTCTAAACATATATACAAAAATTCATTTTCTAAAATTAGTATATTTTCTTTATTCAGCATAATGCACATCATAACTGGAAGAATTAAACTAATGAAAATATTGAAACTGTCCTTAAGCTGATCATGGCAAGACTGCAAGATTGTTACATTACTTTGAATGAAATACTTCACACTTAAAAGTTAACCATCAATTTCCAGTTTATAATTGCTCAGCATTATAAAACAAAAAATAAAGATAACTCATGCAAATATTCCAAACAATTGAAACACGTTTCCAGACCTTACATCAAAAGAGACCTGAAATGAAAGACTACCATCTTTACCCACCTTAATTTGGACTTGTGAATGCTGGTGTTATTTAAACATGTGCCTGATTTGAATTCTGGCAATGGCATGAGCATTCACAGTAGTTCAAAATCCAATACAAGGAGTAAAATAACAAAGACTAGTTATCATTCATGTGCAAAACCTGAGTGTACAGTGAACAAATTAGCAAAATTACTATTTTTTATTTTTCATCAATAGAACAAAAAATTGTAACAATAAAATGCAGCAAAAGATTTACACCATTTTTATATAATGATACAATGTAATTTAATCAACTACTGAACATGACTTTCATGGTAATTAATTTAGCTATTAAGATTTTCAGCATGCATATATATAACTAAACTGAAAGTAATATTTAACCATAAATATTATCTTTAAATATTAATATAAAAGAGGATTTCATTATTTAAAACAATGTCACAATGAATATAGAAGTACATGAAAGATTTACATTTTATTTTTGAAAAGTAATGGGTGAATGCATATTAAAAGGCATTCAAAAACATAATTACTATAAAATGAAGTAAAATATTATGGAATTATTTACAGACAAATATTTTGCTTTCTGAAATATTTTCTCATTACTAATACTTTAGTGAGTTAGTAGATAATATTAAATAAGATTAGTAAAACATTTAATGACAAAGAGTTTATGAAACAGCAAATGATTTCAAGCAAAAACTTAGTGCATTTAGACGGACACAGACACAGTCCCGCTTCTTTATATTGATTTATTTTGCTTTTCATTCATTTGAAATTAATACACAATTATCAGTAATACAAACCATAAAACAAATTACATTTTCTTATAACCTTGCGCCATCAAAAATGAAGAATTTTATCATTTAAAATTTTTGGTGCTTCAGTTTTTTGTTTCACATACAGAAGAATGTTAAATAGAATTAAAAAAAAAAAAAAAAAAAAAAAAAGATGGTGATCAAAGCACTGAAATTATGGCTTCAAGCTTTTGGTTAATTTTTATTTTATTTTAATAGCATTTTATTAAAAGGACCAGTATCTAATCAAAGACAAAGGAATTTAAATAACAGAGCTTTTAAACACACCCATATATAAAAAAAGTTGAAATGTTTAAAATTCTAAAAAAATTGAATTACTTTGTACTTTAATGTGATCTATTCAAAAATCAGAAGTTCTATCACAGCTTTTAGTAATTCTCCAAAGCATTCTTTTATTCTTAAACACTTTCAGATAAACATAGATAACACTTTTGGTGAAATAAAGCAGCCCCAAATAAAGAAATGTAACAGCATGGATTAGCATATACTGAAAATTTAGAGCAGTTTTCATATTCCGCTTTAACTGATCAAGATATTTTAATTTTTATAAACCAAACTCTTTTTAAGGAAAGTAGTATGTTTAAAATTTAATGTGACAATCAAAAAAATATCCAAGTTAAAAAAATTATACTTTACACATATGAAAATGAAATTTAACATGCAAAAACACGAAAAAAAAGTTTTAATATTAATTAAATCAGGAAGTAGATTTATCATTCATTAGTTATACATTTATCATGCATTTTTTTCCACTTTACAGCTCTAATTTGAATTCAATTTTGTATATTCTGTTCAATACTGTCTGATTTCTCACATTAATATTCTTATAAAACTGCTTACATTTCATGTTTGAAAAGGCTTTAATTGGCATATTTTACTTTGACTCACTTGAGAAAGGTCTAAAGAGACTGTCACTAGTTTGGCAAAGTGTCTTCCTAAAAAAATTCCTACAGATTCTGCTAAACCTGATTTTATTTAGCATTTGATGTAGAATCTACATTAATCAAGATATTTATGAAGCAAAAAAAAGGGGTATCAAAGAAAATGGAAAGATAAATAAATACAACTGAAGACTTGTATTATTATTCACCAGTTGCATCAGCACCTTAGTTGACAAAGAACACTAATCAACATAAAACAGAATACATTAAGTTATTTTGTAGTTACTGAACAACAGATGAGAAAAATAAAAAAGAATGAGTGTTCAGCTATTTTGTAGCTCCTGAATACTTGATACGAAAAGAAAATTGTAGTAAAGTTGAATGTGCACAAACCTACTACTATTTTGTTAGTATTCGTTAATATTAAAATAATCAAAAAGTTAATACTATTGATTTTAACAAGTACATATAATAAGAGATTCGGTACAATGAGAGCTAAGTCAAAATTTAGATATATATATAAATTTAGCTTGTACTATTTTTATTAGAAACATTTAAACGATCCTTAAACCTCTAAGACTTCTTTTGTCTATGGATTGTTATCTACCACCAATAAACATTAACAAAATATCTCTACCCATGAAACAAATGAAAAAAATATCAAGAAACAACATTTCAATCATATCACATTATTTGAAAATACAATAAATGCACTCTTAATATAAAGTCATTAAAATTTTTTTGATAACAAATATTAAACAAATCCATTTTTTATTATTAAAACATTTAGGCATAGTTACATATTTTTGTTGAAACTAAAATGTATATTTAAGCTCAAAAATTTAAAAATTCATAAAGCTCAAATATTGTAGATTAAAATTACAAAATAACAATCATTTCAAAACTTAATTTTAAGGCTATGTGTTTCATTCATATTAAAATTAATAAAGTGCTGTGATTATTATAAAAGGAAGAGCATTACACTTAAAGTTTAGACATGTTTTATGAACTTCCATGGATCACACAGCTCAGATATGAGACCTTCAGATGCATATTATGCAGAAGTTATGAAGTTAACAGTAAGATGCCATATATGTCTCCAAAACCTCTGGATAATTCCCTTGTAACATATGTTCCTCTTAAACAGTATACAGAATATCATCTAAAAATAACAAGACAAACTACAAATGATTCACATTATTCTCAACAATAGAGTACTAGAAATAATTATATATGGAATGAGATCATAATATAAAAGTAACATACTAATAAAATCTAACGGACTAACACTTTTAATAACAAGTACCATATTAAACAAACCTACAGAAACTAATACTTGTAATAAAATTTAGAGAATTATAATTTAATTTCCATTAATAAATGACAATTTAAAAAAATTTTATACCTAAACAGCATTACTTAGAGTAGTCACACATTTTGAAGGAGAGAATGATAAATATAAATACACTAACTCTAACTTTCAATAAACATTGAAAGGAAAAATCAGTCATAAAAAACCCACTTACAATAAATTGAATTTTGATTATTTGAACCGATTATTCCCATCCCAAATGAAATATATTAAAAATAAAATTAAATGTTCTTGATAAATGAAAAATTTTTCAACTTGAATAGCTGCAATATTCAACGAGACAACTGTTTTCTGAAATTTTTCAATTTCTTGAAATTTTCCAATTTTTTGTCAAGGTTTAAAACTGTCTGCTGAGTATGAGTTTTTATATATTCTGCTTAATTTTGCGACCATGTCCAGGCATCACATTTTAGGTTCAGACACTTGCAAGTGGCTATAATGAAAATGGAAGATTTGAAAGTATGTTCAGAAATTAAATTTCTTACAAAGGAAGAAACATAACAATTTTTCAGCCTGTGTGTTGTTCCTTCATATTAACATATCTTTGTGCAAATTTCATATTGTGCAGGCTGCTGTTAAAGAATGAGGTATAGAAGAGCTTAATCATCATCCCTACAGTCCAGACCCAGCCTTTACTGAATGTGAAAAATTTTAGATGTGAAAATCTTGCACAGACAACACTTCCCTGATGATGATGATGATCTCAAGACAGCAGTAAATGCCTGACCAAAATGGAACCTTTCATTTCAAGGGTATCCACTAATTCAGATCAAAGTGGAGGAAATGTGTTGAGATTAAAGAAGGTTATTTAAAAAAAAAAAATCAAAGTAATTTTCAGTCTCATTTATTATTTTCATGTTCAAGTAAATAACTTACTAAGCTATCATTGAATCATGACATGAACCTTCTTCACAATAATCTTAAATTTGAATTAATCTGATATGCAATCTATACTTTTACTTAGAATTAACCAACAGTCTCCTGTTTGTTTAAGATATGTCATAAAATAATAAAATTAATTAATTTCATTCAAGAAACCAAAAGGCCATGTCTTTAAAATAATGCTTTTGTGAAATTACTTATATTTTCAAGTAACATTTCTGCTGGTGGTAAAAAGAAATATTACCAAGTGTAACTCACACATTTTGCTATTTCAAATGGACATAACCATTCAATTATGCAACAAAACCATATGATTTCACGTATTGACAATTTTTGTAGTCTCGTTTAATATAAATGCATAAAAACTGGATTTCTTGATTTTATGTTTTAAAAATTTCATTTAATTGCAGTGAAACATTTTTCAACGTTAATATTTATATATTTTTCCTTCGCTTTTAGATATACATACGTGTATATCTATGTAGAACTGGCATAGTGGTAGAGGAGCCAGCTGCCATAGCCTCAGGCCCAGGTTTGAATACCAGAGAAGGTATGGATGTCTTTGTGGCATAATGGCACTTAAAATATTGTTGAATCAAAGGCCTCTTGAGAGACTGCAGAACAGTAAAGCGCCGTTCCCACTGGGGTTTATCTGAGCTAACGGAGTCGGTTCCCTGTATTGACTAGCTCCGCTGTGCCTGCAGTTCAGATTTTTCAACTTACTGTTCTATGAGGAAAAACTGGCTTGGGGGATGGGTGGACTACGTTAGTTGTGTTCGTTAGCTCAGATAAACCCCAGTGGGAATGGGCCTTAAGAGGATTGGAAGACCTTTGAATCCATACTGAAAGGTTCTCCTTCAAAACTGGGATGGAGCTGGGCAAATTTCTTCTGTCACTTACAAGATATCCAAGACTTAAGCACAGGGTACAATTGCCATTTGGCCATAATAAAATTCATGGATTGATCTAATGTTACTGTCAAACAAGTGAAAGAGTCACAGAAGCAACAGAATTCTCCACACACAACCACATATATGTATTTAGACACCACCTTGAAAAAGCCTTATTAACAGGAGTTTCCAATTTACATGGCATTTTTTTCTGCTTCCTTAAATTTTGAGTTACAGAAGTTTGATTGCATTTATGTTAAGTCTAATCTTCAGTTCTGCATAAATGCAGCATTAACAAAAGTAAAATCAAATAATTTTCAACACAAAAAACTCAATACTGATTATAACAAGCATGACTAAAGACCATCACGTAACATTTATGTAGTAATTAACTATATTGCTTATAAAAAGATAATGTTTAATGGAAGTATGAAGATTAAAATGGGTTCCTCTTTTTGCTGTACAGTGAAGTTTTGAGGATTATCATATTTAGGTATCAAATTTTTTTAATTTCCTGCCTCTAAATTTAATAGAACAAAAGTCTAAGCTAATAATTTATATTTCCTGCCTATATTTGTGCTGCTGCTTGAAGGCACCCCCCCCCAAAAGTCCTCAACAGCCTAAACAAAATCCTTGCTTCTAGAGTATAAAGTACCTCTAAAAATCTCAGCTAAAATATTTTATTTTCTTGCTGAAACATTGAGTCATTAACTCAATATGGGATTTTTGCTAAAAGTTGGATTAGTTTAGAAGGTGCATAAAAATACCGGCTGCAACTTCATCCTATTTTGACACACAAGCCATATGGGACAGAATCTGAAGGATTTTATACTACTATCACCAACCTCTTGAAAATATTTCATTTTTTTGATGTAGAAATAGTTTCTAAGAGTAAAGAATGTAATTCTTTGCATTCTGTAGAACCTCTAACCATTAGTTTTTGGATATTTTTATTACGTTTTTCATAAAATTATTAAATCATCTGCAGACCCGACTGTGAACTTTGCTGCACTATAGTCACAAACCTACCTGTTTAAGATCCAGAATTGAATTTATTGGTTAGTGCAATTACTTTCTGCTACCCATAGTACCATTTTTTTACTGGAGTAACAGATTTTATATATGAAGATACAGAACTAAATTGGAGTAACAGATTTTGTGAATGAAGATACAGAACTAAATATGAGAAAGAAAAACTTCAATCACTACCAGTTTAACAGAAAAATGTTTCTAAGAAGTAGAGACTGGAACTAAAATAAACAGTTTGTGATCCCAAAGAATGGATACAAACATATATTCTGCTACACTAAGATACACACAGACTATCTACAGATCATACTAGTAACAGATCTATACTGACATATGCACTCGAAATACTTAAATTAAAAGAAAAAATATTTTAATAAAATTATTTTTATCAACAGTGGTATTTATACTCAGATGCATTGCTATTTAACAAACATTTTAGTTTATCTGCTGTTTGTTAATCAATATTTTTGAACAATACATTTTATAACTGCAAAGAGATAGGTTAGGATTTGCAGCATAAGATCAAGCTAGATTGAAACTAAGTTTTCATAAGACAATTTTTTTCAGTTTTGAAGAGTCTCGCTTAACTATCTTTGCATCAAGGAGTGAAATATTTAGCATCACACTGTTAGTAACATGACACTTAAATAGATGAAATATGCCATCCAGTAAACAAAATATAGAACAGAATTAAATTAAGAAATAAGATTTTTAAGCACTCAAGGAAAACACAGCAGGAATTCAAACTATTAACCTTCATTCATACCATAAGGTCATTAGTGATAATACACATTAAAATTTCAAACAAAACACATTTGGCAATAAAATAATTTTTATTCTTATCACAATGGGCCATATTGCTAATAAAAAGCAAGAAGCAAAGGGAGAATAACGTAACCACCAACACAAAGTCAAACATGATACATGATTCAACTGATATAGTAAGGTGTGAGCTTCAATAGAAACCTTTTGTGCTATCCCATTACAGAGCATTTTAGTGGAAACTTTGATGATCATAATTTAGAAATGAAAGTTTGGGGATTAAAAAAACATATGCTGATCAGTTTACCCAGTTTTGATAACTATGGAAGCTTTCTGTTAGTCATATTGTAAATATTTTAATTCTATATTTGATCTGTATTATTGTAGTACTTAATATTGTTTTATTTATTTATTTAATGCTTTTAGAATGGTAATTTTTTTATTTATTTTGTGTTTAATCTCATTTGTGGCTACATATATCGCATTTAAGTACTTAGTTGCTTCATACAATTGCAGAGCTTTTAATTTTGAGTGTAACATCTTAGGAACTGTAAAACGTAGCTCAGTCAGATTAAGTTCTGTAGGCAATTTCGTTCCTAAGAGGCCTTAGTGACAATTTTTGTCAGTCGCCAACCTGGTAACTTTCTGGTTCTTCCATAAGTTCCCGAGTCCATGCTGCAGGGTATAAACATGGGTCAGAGAGCCAGGGAGTTCAGTTGTGAATTAGCTGTGAGACTTAGTAGTTAGTTGAACTACCAATTAGGGTTTACCCTGAGAGTGATTTGAGAAATTTTGCAATTTTATTTCATATGCTAAGGAGAAATTGGTAAAATCTGCATTCTCCTTCAGTTATTTCCAACAATTATTGTGCTATGCATGCTATTCACTTACTTTATTTTCCTAATAAATTGTTCATCTCTTCTTGCTTATCTGTACTCATTATGTTACAGAACCATTCATGATCCTGTACTTTGTATCAATTGGTGTCAGAATTTGGAGTTTCTCTGTATGCCGATAACCAGGATAATGGAAGAATAGCTGAAAGCCCTAATGAAAATAATTGCCGCAAGTTCTGCCGAGAAATCGATGGAAGTGAATGTTGCAGAAATGAGCTTTCTTGAAGCAAATGCCACTGATACGAAGAAATTTATCAAAATATATGCCACTGAGATGAGGAAAGCAGCAGCAGAAATGAAGGAGAGTATTGTTGCCATTGAAAGTAAAGTC